TGTACGACTAATAAAAAAAAAATTACTAGAGAAAAATATAGTAAAAAATTTTATTACGAAAATTTCACAACACAGCAAAAACCAATATCAAGTACGTCAGGTGCAACTTTAAGAGGTGTTAACTTCACGCATGACACCAAAACTACAGAATTTAGCATGGAAAATAATAAAGGCAAATATTATTATTGTAAGTTATTTTAATTTTGTATTTTAAAATTCTTAAAATATTTAATGAACATTCATTTTATTCGCGTTGATTAGTCTGAGCATAAAGTTATTTGCATTTAAATTTATGAGTCGCACGAATAACGTGTAGCGAATATAATACGAGTGATGAATGGTGTGAGGCATGACTATTTAATGATCGATCACTTATCGACCGACCATATTCAAAAAAAAAAATTTTTATGATCGGTCATGATCAAACAAGTCAAATGATCGATCATTCCATAATTGATCATCATCTCTACTTCTTTGTCTTTTGATTTGATTTGTTAAGTAGTGTTTTGTGAATGTGCTTTAAAAAAAAAAAAAAAACCATGGTAAGCATAATAGGTTAATATATTTGCGAAACATCGAAAAATTAAAATTAGATGGTGCTTACTGGTAAAACACCACCACCAGCGATTGTAGCTCGAATCAGCGTGTCTAGTTCTTCATCACCTCGAATTGCTAATTGTAGATGACGTGGCGTGATACGTTTGACTTTCAGATCTTTAGACGCATTTCCTGCTAATTCGAGAACTTCTGCTGTAAGATAGTCTAGAATAGCAGCTGAATAAACGGCAGCTTTCGCGCCAACACGTGCATTATTCAGAGTTCGCTTTTTCAAATAACGATGAATACGGCCAACCGGGAACTGTTGTGACAGGTAACACAAAGGAGCAAAAATAAATTGTTAGCACAAAATAAATATGCAAAACAATTCGTGGTGCCGATCAATAACTTGCAAGAGGAAGCGATCCACAGCGGAATTCGAGTCCCCCATGTATTTTAAATTTTTTTTTTTAAAACAATTTTTTTTTTATCCAGAAATTCGGCATTTGATCGTAGTAAACATGATGCAGCGAGAAAGTTTAAAAATAATAAACTATTTTTTTTTTTTTTTTTTTTTTCAATGTAAAGTGCTAAAATACGAACGGCACTGCTAACATATGTAAAGGAATAATATAAATATTCTTTTAAAAAAAAAAAGTAAACAAATATCTTACTTGTAAACCAGCTCTCTGTGACCTGGACACGACTGGTGTTCTATCTTTCTCTTGGTGTTTTGGTTCCGCAGTACCGTTTTCCTGTGAAGTTGGACCTTGCTTATTACCAGTAGCCTTTTTTTTTGTATCATGGTGGTTTTTAGTAATAAAATAATGTTGAGTTAATATGGTTTGGTATTATTATATAGTCTGTTTACATTATTGGCGAGGAGGATGCAAACGCGACCAAGGTTAAGGGATGAGTACGTTATTACAATTGCAAGCTAGTCAAGTTTCTTGTTAGAATAACGCGGTTTTTTATTAAACTTATTTCATAAGTTTATTAATAATAATGTTGGTCAAGTAAAGAAACCTTGATCTCGTTACAACCCGACTTGTCCACGTGATTATAAAAATATTTTATTAAATGCAAACGGGTAAAAAATGAGTATTTACCATTTTCCAAACAAGCTTGCCAAGCGACTTAGTCAAATTAAAAGCAAATAAAAGAAGCTGATAAGTTTCTTTAGATAAAATCGACAGGTGGTAAATATTAGAACCAACGAGTTTTCGTAAAAGGTGTTGAAATTTAAGACTGGTAGAGTTGGGAAACTGGATTTGATTTTGTGCAGATCAGTTGACTAGTATTTTTATACTAAAATTTATAGTAGTGATTTTTATATGTTTTACAGAGCTCCTTATCCAAATTTGGACATTTAGCATCACTTTTGATGCAGATTTGACAATTTTTTTTTTCGGTTTATCAGATTCTGCGAGTCAAAAACGTCACATAGCAATACCCATTCTTCGCCTAATATTTTAGCTAATATCTGATTTAGATAGTCGATATTGATAATTCATCTAATGATTACGATTCAAGCTAAACAGAAATAAGTCACTAAGCTTTCCGGAATCGTAACAGATGCTAATTCTAATAACGACAGAATTTCAGAATATATAGAATATTTATGAGTGACGGTAATGAAAACCTGTAAATCATGCTTTCTGAATATTTCTTTTAATAAAAATATCTTAAGGTTTTAATGTTATTCGAATCTTTTATTAAGGCGATTCAATTGATATTAAAATAATGATTGCTAAGTTACATGATTTCAAATTATTTTTATTAAAAGTAAATATTCAAAAAGTATGATTTACAGATTTTCCCAGACTATCACTCATATTGTTCACCATTTCAATCGAACACATAAATGATCGATCAGAAAAATTTTATCCAATCACCATCTCTACAAAAGGATTGCATAAAACTAAACTGCCCAACGAAATTCCAAAAAGTGTTCTATGTGATATTATAGCCACCTTTTTGTAAATTGTAATTTTTTTTTTCTCAAAGAAAAAAAAAAACAATTACGTTGCAATCGTTATGCTTGGTTTCTCTTTCCTTTTTAGCTATTTAATCGTCTCTTATCAGTTAGTCAATGCGGATTTCCTTCTAGTAAGTAAAATAAAAACCATATCGGTAATTCACAAAGTTAGAAGAAAACCAAATTTGCTTATAAAAATACCAAAGATATTTTTCTTTTCGTTCCGATATTTCATATTAAAAAAGATTGATATTCATCTATTGACGAATCTGTATTCTCATTTGTGTAAATGTTGCAAGAATTACAAAGATTATTAGCATCAATACAATAATGATAATAAGGAAATATATATATATATCTAGTGTCTATTATTTTGCAATTTTAATTTGAAATGTGCCTAATGGTGTATATTTATTTAGTAAAAATACGAATTATAAAGTGAAAACTGCAAGTAAAAGAACTTACATTGTGGCAATTGGGAAGTTTCCGCGATTACTACACTAACTACACCTAAATTAGCCAATGCACCTCTGATTAAACCACACGGGAACCAAAGATACTAAAACACAGTTATTGTTTATTGTTAATATATGTACAATTATACGTGTCCTTTCATAATTATTGAAATGGTAACAATAAGCTTACAGGTACAGCTTTCTTTGCAGCTTCGGCTCCTCCAGTCTCAGTAGACATTCTAAGAAACCATCGAAAATTATTGTCCTGAAGTACATATACACCCTAAAAAAAAAAAAAAAAATCGAATTAATACATACTTATATAAATAATATACAGTTTTGTATTAACTATAATTACTCTGTGATTAGTTTTCAAATTATCAATTTGTTTTTTGAAAATTATTGTCCAAAGGTCTTTACATATAAATTTAACCACATCAAGAGTGTCAACAAATCGTGGACGATCTCTTGTAAACCTATTAAATCGATAAAGTGATTAATGGATCAAAGATCGTAAATCGAAGGGTGTTAAGGTTTACCTTTCAACTAAACTTTGGCCAACTTGATATCCCAATACTTCCAATTTATAAAATACTGATTCTTTATCATTTTCTGAATCAGCCGTTGTACGATACATTAAATCAACCATCTCCATCATTAAAAATTCCAGACAACTTTCGTTAACGAGTAAAGGTTTAGTAGAGCCTCCTGTTGTCAAAGTTGTACTTGTAGAGGAAGAATCGTCACCTGAGGCTAAAGACGTAAAAAATGGTGTTATCGCTGATGATGCACTTTGAAGAACAGACATTTTTTTTTTTAAGACAAAGTATAATTGATCTGGAATCTAATTACGATAAAGTTCGGGAGTTCTGTTGGTTGCATATCCATATTTATGATGATCGTGATCAAATGTTCTGACAGACTTGATTGAGGCTTGTATTCAGATTAAGAGTTTTTGTAACACTTACTAACGGCATTTCCTAACGCCAATTTTCTTGCATTTTCTATTGGCCATCCTATGTGATATACATCACCTGACCACCTCTGCAGCCAATAGGAACTGAAAAGTGGAAGAGACCTGAGTGCAGTCCGACGATTTACCAAATTAGGGCAATGCAGATCATCCCTTTTTTGGCATAGAAATGACGATCAGAAAATTCTAGACCCTCCAATATAACTAATTCGTGATTGGTCAATCTTATAAAATCGAATTTATACAGTCTAAAGTACTTTTAAAGCATGCAGTAGTAAATTTTTTTTAACTGTCATTCATAATTCAGTAATTTTATAGAAGGTCTTCACGAACAAACAACGAAACTTTAAATATCTTGAGTATTTCAGAGATTCACCATACCCAGGTATACTTTACTTAACGACAGTTTTCAAGCCAGAAAAGTTTCTAATTACAGAATAACATACAGAAAACGTAGCTAACCGGTTGGGAAAAAGCTTGAAGCAATGGTAATTTCATAGTCAAATAGATTACAGATTTATGAACACTCGAAGCTTAAATTTGGAGAATATTCGGTAAGCAGCTTATATTCAGATTTTGAAATTTATAAGTCGGGATGAGGTTTTTAATTTTTAAGGCTGCAAGAATAAAAGCTTATATGGTTATTTTTTTTTCTTTTAAATAAATAGGCTTTATTTCGTTTACTCGAGATTCACATTTTAGCATTTAAGGTAGCTTGTTGTGTATTACGAGTAATTATGGCTCCACTGTTTGATGAAGAAACTATTATTGTACGATTGTATATAGTGATAGATATATGTAATAATTTTCTGTTAAATTATTTAATTAAATTGTGTTAAATTATTTTAATTTATAAATTGTGATATATTATAATTTTAATTCGAAAATAAATAAAATATT